TGTTTCATTTATTTTTGTAAAAAACAGTTTCACTTGTCATCCCAACTGATTTTGTCTCGTTTTATATTGAATACAGTGATTTTTAGATTAACATTAAAGAATCAATCCTGTAGAAGAACAAGGAATATATGAACAAATAAATTAATGAGCAGACTTGTTTTACTATCCATCAGAACATACTATAACACTATCATAATGATACAAATAAATCAGCAGAATAGAACAGAAATTTGAGAAAAAAATGTTAGTATGCATAACAAACAAGATATCCCAATTATTTCGAATAATAAATGACGGCACCAATGATTATCTATATGAAAGAAAATAGTTTTGGTGCCCTATTTAATATGAAATGCTAAAATACATTTCAGAGGAGCTAAAAGTTTACAGTAAAATATTAAATATCAAATATCTTAGAAAATGTACAAAATTACATATATAACTTAGGATGGGTATATATTATACATCTGACAGAAAACTCAGAAACTATAAATATTAAAGTATTATTAAAGTTATTAAAGTGTTAAAAACTTTAATAATACTCTAAAGTTAAAAAATTAAAGTATTATTTTGGCCAAAATTTTGTATTTTTTTCCAAAAATAAAAACATATTAGATAAATCTGGATACATTTTTGACACAAATTTAATGGTAACAGGCTAATTTCTATAATATCAAAACAGATTGCTATCTATAAATACAAACCAACAAATAAAAGATAAGTTACAAAATGGGCAAAGATGTGGACATTTCACAGGTTTTTAAATTGATTTCACATGCTAAAAGAGTTGTCTGGCAATTTTAAATTAAATAGAAGTTCATGATAAGCGAAAAAACAGGTCACAAAATAGCAATGTATAATACTAGTTTTAAAAAATAAAAAAAGTATGTGTATATTTATATTTTTTAAAATGATAATGCAATTATCTGTGATTAAAAGGATTTTTAATATGTTTTCATTTTCATTTTATACTTTTCTCAATTTTTTTCTCTGTATCTAAATGCTCTTGTCTTCAGTTTTTCTGGGTTATTTACTGGAAATTGCCGTTTTATTAGTTGCTGTTGCTTTAGTGTAATGCTAGAAAAACATTTCAGATAGAGATCTTGCTATGTGTAAGATACAAGGATTTTTTAATGTGTGTATATGTATCACTTATATTTTTGCATCATCCTCTGATAATGAAAGATGATGATGATGGTTAAACATTTATTGCCTATGTATTATCTGTCTTCCCGTAAGAGCTTAGACTTCTGTCTTTTCAATGCTGAATCCACAATGCCTGGAAAAGTACTTAACACACAGTAAACACAAAATAAATATTTGTATGGTAAAATAAGAGGGTATTATTTTTTGCCAAAAAACAAACCTATTATGTTTGTTTTGAAAAAACTTGGCAAGTCACAAATTCAGTTTTAAGATGACTAGCAACTAATGCGTAAATTGACCTAGACCACAACATAGAGCAACCTAATGCACAAGGAAAGTATCACTAGTCTCAGGATTGAGACAAAAGGTAGGTTGTTTTCTTGTGCATCTATTTAAAGCAATACTTTCAACTAAATCTTCATAATAAATAAATAGGCATCATAAGTGTTTCTTTTCTTAATTGAACTTTTGGTAAGTATCAATGTAAAAGGCCTTTGAACCACAGCAATTCCATTTTGAACAGGAGCTGGGTAAAATGATGCTGAAGCTACCTACGGGGCTGCATTCCCAGATGGGTAGGCATTCTAAGTCACAGGATGAGACAGGAGGTCAGTACAATATACAGGTCATAACGACTTTGCTAATAAGACAGGTTATAGCGAAGAAGCTTGCTAAAACTCACCAATACCAAGAATGACCTCTGGTCGTTCTCACTGCTACACTCCCACCAGTGGCATGACAGTTTTCAAATGCCTTGGCAATGTTAGGAAGTTACCCTATATGGTCTAAAAAGGGGAAGCATGAATAATTCTCCCTTTGCTTAGCATATAATCAAGAAATAACCATAAATATGGGCAACCAGTAGCCCTCGGAGTTGCTCCGTCTATGGAGTAGCCATTCTTTATCCCTCTACTTTCTTAATAACCTTGCTTTGACTTTATTCTATGGAGTCACCCTGATGTCTTTCTTGCATGAAATCCAAGAACTCTCTCTTGGGGTCTGCATCTGGATCCCTTTCCGGTCACATCAAGTGGCAGTAATTTTGATATTTACCAAAAAGTGCTACAAGGCCGGGTGCAGTGGCTCATGCCTGTAATCCCAACATTTTGGGAGACCCAGGAGGGTGGATCACTTGAGATCAGGAGTTTCAGACCAGCCTGGCCAATATGGTGAAACCCTGTCCCTACTAAAAATACAAAAATTAGCAAAGCATGATGGTGCATGATTGTAATCCCAGCTAATCAACCGGCAGAGATTGAGTGAGCTGAGATCATACCACTGCACTCCAACCTGGGCCACAGAGCTTGGTCTCAACAAATAAAAAATTGCTGTGAAGGCAGATAGTCTCTCATACTGGTTATATGGAGGCCCATGGGCTTTAGTGGACAGTTAGCTGGTGTTTGGAATGACACCAGGCATGAGGAGTCAGATAAGACTTGTGATTTATTAAAACAAAAAACAAAAAACAAAAAACAAAAACAAACAAACAATAACAAAAAAAACCCATTTCCACATAGACAGGCTAATGAAGTGCAATACCAGGATCATGATACTTTTTAGAGAAAATACTGGGTTTTGACTTGCCAACCAAGGACAATCAATTTCCCACAAATTCTACCAACATAAAAGTTTGCTGCAATTGATTTTAAACCAGAGAATTGTCTTAGGTATACATACTCAAATTTCTTCTTTAGTCATAAAAAATCAGAATGCCATAACTCTGCCTATTCTACTTTATAAAATAAATAGGTTGCAAAATGCACATCTAAATAATTATATTAGATAATTCTGTGTATAAAGTCACTAAACATAGGCTAGTGAAATGTTGGAGGCTTTCCCCCAAACATGGACTGTCATTTTAGAAAAATTGAAAGGTATTATTACAGTTTTGGTACTAATTACTTAACATACCAGGTATCTAATAAAGACACTCAGCAAAGACAGTTATAGCATATGATGACAAAACCATGTCATCTATACATAAGAAAATATTTGCTATTTTTATCTAAAAGTAGTATCAAGTCATTAGGAAACTGTCCATAAAGGATTAGGACACAGGCCTATTTGGTCACACCTATATGACTAACAAAAAACTGACGAGTCTAAAACAACTTTTGAACATTTTCCTCAATAGTTCCCCTTGTTTTAATCCTTGCCTTGGTGCATGGCTTCACCATTAGCCTGTCTCTTCTCAAAAATATCAGTAAACATATGTCTTTACATCTCTCCTTCCCTCTAGGATGCCAGCAGCTCAGGACAATTCCCTACGTAAAACCCTTCAATTTTCTAATAATGCCCCATATAACTAATTTAGCATGGTTAAGCAGATTTTTCCCAGTCTGGTTCCTGCCTACATATTTAGTCTTATATTTCAACCAGCCCCTGTGTAACAACCATGACACTCTAATATAAATTAATAAAAATACAACTATATTTTTAACACTTTAGTGCTTTTTGCTTTTGTTGTTAGCTTTGTCTGCTTCTGCCTGGAATTTCCCCCTTCCTGTCTTTCTAGTGATGTATTTACTACTGCTGATACTCTAAATCACAGCTTATGGGTCATGTTTTCAATAAAGCACCTCTTGAATCATCCTGCCCTCCCTCCGCGATTCCCCAGTCCCAGTTGACATGCCTAACTTGTTCTGAGTATCTGAGAACTTTGATTTATTCTCTACATACTACTTCTAGCACAGTCCATATGAAAAGTGTTGCATTCATTGATTAAATATTTGCTTCCTCGTCTGCTAAAATGTAAACCTCTGGAAGATTTCTTCGGATGGTACACCCATAGCATGGTGCATATTGTATAACAGGCAAATAGTTAATGGCTTTTTAAAGCCATATCTTGTATAACAATGTCATCTGCTCAGCTCTCATTGATAAAAATGATATCACACCAAAGTAAAACATACTTAATGAGATGCAATAGTTATCGTTACACTTTTGGTTCCAAAAGGTAAACTGAGCATATGACAAGTACAGTCCTAAAACTATTAGTAGTAAAACATTAGAAACAAAGAGATTTCAACCAATTGCCTGAAGAGGAAGACCAAGAAATCGATATTGATTAATAAGCAGAAGGGAGCAACTGGCAATCGATAATATGCATGCAGGAGAAAGAGACACAAAAAAGCTGGAAGGCTAGGAAGATTTTTGTATACTCTGGAGATTTGGGTAAGAAACATATGACCAAAGGACAGTGTGAAAAGTGGCCTGGAAAACAGCAATAATCCTCTAACACTTTTAGGACCAGTCAGCCATTTATTTCTCTGGGGAAAACAAGGAGATGTTTCATAAATACATTTAAAACTATAACATAAAATAACTGTTAAATGAAATTACTTGGGGATAGCATAGCAAAGGCAAATGTTGAAAAGCATAGAGAATCATCAAATGATACAGGCAAAGTCCAGAACTGAAGGTGTAGGGAGGTTCAAACTTTCCCTATGAAGTTTTGACAACAGAGTCTGTTGAAATAAGCTGACAATAGATAAACAGGAGAAAAGGCATACACATCATTTAAGCTCATGGGACTCACACAAAATATAAAGCTCAAAGGAGGAGCCAGATGGTTGAAGTTTTTATAGCATAAAGGAATAGGGGCTTTTAGGGGAGGTGATAACAAGTTAAGGGAGGGGAAAAAAGGAGGAACCACAGGATGCACAAAGGTTGTCTTATTATGCAGATAAAGCTTCTCAGGTAATAAAAGCAGCCTCCAGAAGAATAAGTGATAGACTGTCAGGGTGTGGGGATGACATTTAATCTTCTCTGCAGTGATTAATCTTCCCTGGTTGTTTGATGAAATTCCTAGGGAGGGATTTCAAGACAATTGCATTTCATTTGGAAGAACTTACCTCAGTAAAATAAGTGAACTTCAGAGAAAGGGCCTCCTGGTGCTTTGGGAAAGAGAGGATCTAGAGACAGAGGATGGAGGAAGGTCAGAGAGACCCTGAGGCTACTCCTTTACTTCAAAATTGTCATACATTGGAGCATGATTTTCTGAGCCACAACAAAGTCGTCTATAAGTGTTTAAATTAAAAAAAAAAAAGACTACACAATTTTTAAATAGGTTCACATTTAGACATGCCATTTTCAAATGCCAAGACAACAAGAATAAAATTAATATCTCAAGCACTTCTTTTAAAGTTATTTACAGATTAATATCAGACTGCCCATCAGTAACACTGCTTCTTAGATTGCAGATAATTACTTCAGTATTCTCAGATAAAAATGATTTTCAACCCTGAATTCTGCACCTGGCCAAATTGTAAAGGTAGAATGAAGTCATTCTTTGTCATGAGACAGATAAAACTCAGAAAGTTTATCTCCCAAACATGCTTTTTCAGGAGGTTATTTGAAGAATATCAAACAGAAAACAGATGGAATTTAAGAAAGCATGAATCAAATTCAGAAGATGGGAGAGATGGATGTATAATAAGGCTAGAGAACAAACAGTTTACATAGGAGCAAAATGACAGAGTACTAAGAGAAATCTCCAGAGAAGAGCATAGCATTAAAAACAAAAAGCTACAGATAGTATTTTTCATATTTATATGGTCAAATATAAAAAATTGTTTTAAATGCAAATGGTAAAGCAATGGGTTTCAAAAATTAAAACAGAATGAATATCAAACAATAGAATGCATATGAATTAAAAACGTATTTAGGATACACTTAAGCAAGGCCTCTTTTGCTTCTTACAAGAAAAAAAAGGCAATGAGAAACTTCAGAGGGGAAAGAAAACCTGTAAAAACAATGTATAATTCAAAAATAAATTAGACCAAACGATTTGGGGCAGGTTATTATTAGATATCGTCTAAAGCTGAAAATCAACAATTAGCAACACACACACACGCACATGCACACACACACACTTCTGAGGTAACCCCAGAAGAACTATAAAGACATTCTGAACAGCTGGATAAGAGTATGGAAAAGAACTTTTATTACAAGCCCAATTTTTCTTTTTGATTTAAAAAAACCTACATAAATTAATCTGATATTTTATTTTAGAAAAAGAAACTGATACTTATACATATCCAACATATCTTTCCTTCAAAATTCATTTTAAAAAGCTTATTAGATGATTTAAAAAAGTGAATCTAGACTGTCAAATGTAATTATTTATGTGTACCACATCCTATAAATCTTTAGTCATAGCCTAACACCAAAATGAGAGCACAAAGTATCTTCTTATAGAATAAATGGCCCACATTTCCCCAAGGGAACGCATTCTTTTGAGAATAAATTGCATTTACAATGTTGCATTATTACATTTATTTTAGGACTACAGGCTAAATCCATTAAACTTGTAATGATGTTTTTTTATTGCCCCTCCCTTCCAGGCTTATGGGAAAAGACTGATTTTCACAACTACTCTAAGTCATTAGAAGTATTGTTAATTTACTACTATCTCAAGTCTCTTCATCTCTAATCTACATTGATTTTCTGTCCGGAACACAGAAAGCATGCATTTGTTAATGCTTTAGCTACAATCAGTTTTCTTTCAGATTTTTTTTTTCTCCTGGAAAAATTGAATAAAAGTGGCAAAACAACTACTTGAACATAGATTAATGACTACTTAGAAATGACTTGTAGAAGTGTAAAAATTTTTAGGGAGGTAACATTATTAGTTTTAGAAAAGCATAGGTATATACATGCCATAGTGGTTTGCTGCATCCAACCCCCTGTCATCTACATTAGGTATTTCTCCTAATGTTAGCCCTCTCCAATCACCCCACCCCCTGCTATCCCTCCCCTAGCCACCACCCCGAACAGGCCCTGGTGTGTAATGTTCCCCTCCCTGTGTCTATGTGTTCTCATTGTTCAACATCCACTTATGAGTGAGAACATGCAGTGTTTACTTTTCTGTTCTTGTGTCAATTTGCTGACAAAGATGGTTTCCAGCTTCATCCATGTCCCTGTAGAGGACATGAACTCATCCATTTTTATGGCTGCATAGTATTCCATGGTGTATATGTGCAACGTTTTCTTTATCCAGTCTATTTTTGATGGGCATTTGGGTTGGTTCCAAGTCTTTGCTATTGTGAACAGTGCCGCAGTAAACATACATATGAATAGTTGAATGTTTTATAATCCTTTGATTATATACCCAGCCCACACATTCTGCACATTTACCCCAGAACTTAAAGCATAATGAAATAAATAAAATTAAAACCAATATTTTAATTTTAATAAACCAATATTTTTAATAAAACAAAAAATTTTATACGAAGAAAAAAAGAAAAGCATATGACTTAAAAAATGGACATAGTGCTCCCCCTTTATTGCTGTTGGTGACAGTCTCTACAGAGACCTGAGCTCCATAAACAATTAAAAATCAAATCATGGCAATCATCAGCCATAATTTCTAGTCAATTCTAGAAATTTAGAGGTTTTCTCCCCCATGCAAATTGAGTACACAATTCTTTGCTTTAACAGAACCACTAAGGTGTCTACAGATTTCTTAAGTTGCCGTATGGTAATCTTTTTACAAAGTGAATCTTGTCTTTGTCTTTGGTGCTCCACTCACCCTGTGGCCCCATGCTTTGTCTAAGATGTCATGAGGCTCATTTTCTTCACCATGTTAGCTCTAGAAAAAGCAAAGTTAAGGAAGTCAAAGCAGGTGACACTTTGTCTGAAGCTGACCTTGCTTAATAGGGGACAGGAGGATGTATGTCAATTTAGAAATCAACAGCCACCAACAACCATATGTATCACATTTTTAAAAAAATTGTATTAAAAAATAGAGTAGCTTAAATTGGTGAACAGAAATTCAGTGCTGAGCATTAATCAGAACATACCATTCAAAACTTTAAAATATGGACTAAAAGAAATATTTACTTTATTATTTTGGAAGAGTAAGCAAAGTTATTATGACAATCTTAGAGTTTACTATTCTTACAACATAAGAAATGAAGATTCATGTATATTGGCTTCTCTTTCTAACCATTATAGACTTACTTCATCAAATCAGCTTTAGCCACATAATTTTAATTTCTTGTTTTATCAGTAACAAAACAGGAAACCAATCCCAATACTACTTCTTCATTTGATTTTATAATTATTGTAGTCTAATTTGATGTCAGAGAGATTCATCATTAGACACAATAATATGTATGTATGTATGTCTATATTGGTGTTTCCTAGGCCTTTTGTATTTCCTATATGTTTTCAGTATTTTATTCAATTACATAGAAATAAATTCTCCCATCAATTATTTGAAACTCTTTATAAACAGCAAATGTACAAATAGATCATTTGTCCTTATATAATATAAAATTATAATAGATATTAGATATTATTTATATTGTATAGATTAATGTTTATATATGCATATAATCACCATCAAAAAGCTGAACGATATAGAACAACAACATACCATCCTAATTCATTGTTTTTAGAGATTAAAAATAGTTTATGTTTTTGTTTTCCCACATGAGTAAAATATCCATCACTAAGACTTTTCTGTAATAACCTCTTGAGAAATGAGGTTATTTCCCCATTAACTAAGGCACTGAAAACATAATCCTTGATATGGGAGAGGTAGATCACAACTTAAAATCTAAATCCTCTAGAAATGGCGAATTGCCGTAATGAATTTTAACTTTGCTCACAACTTAACACCACCCTTGTTCATTTATCAGGTAGATTTGGGTCTCTGAACTGTGCCCCAAGAGGCAGTTCAGTGTGGTGGTTACAAGGAGAGACTGGTTGTCAGGAGAACCTGTGTCTGCCTCCTAACTCTATGTCCTTTCATTATGAGTTTGAACAAAAGTGTGTCAAGTTAATGTGAGAGTTATAGAATTTGCCGAGAAAGACAGATATACAGGAGAATTGGTAAGAACAAAGAAATACAATTCTTATAAATATTACTGATTTTAGTATACTATCCTCTTTAAATTTGAGTAAGAGTTTTAGCTATTTTGAAACTTTTCCAGTTTGGAGACTGAGTTTGGAAGAAAGGAAAGAAGAAAGAAAGAAAGTGAGGGAGGGAGGAAAAATAATTTTTTTTGGCATGTTACAGGGCAACATTTTTTTTTTTTGGCAATATCGCTGAGAAAGTTGCTGTGGCTTTAATGGATAGGAACCTACATATTCCTCAGTTTATTTTAGACAACCTAAAGCAGCTCCTTAGTGACAGTGCAGGTCCTTAACATTATTTTGTCATTAACTAATAAACACTGGATATCCCAAATCACATTCTACTTCCCCAAATGATAATGTATTATATAATTCTATTTATGATGTAAAATAATGCTTTCCTGGGAGCCATTGTATATATTTATATACAAATTATTTTCTGGGATTTGATGTGGTTGAGAATTATACAAGATAGATTATTTCTATGAATTCTGGGTTCAGGTTTCCTTTGCTTGGACCAGAAATCATCTATTTCATTTTCCTTCAGCATATTATATTCTGCGAAGTGTCAGAGACACTCTATGGTACTAATGAGTTCTTGTTCCAATCATCTGTTTTAAACTTTTAATTTTTTTCTTTGCTACTATGAAAAAGAAGATGAATGAAGAAAACAAAAATCAATACTCTTATTTATTTGTTGCTAGAATCTCAATGTTTGAGAGAAAGTCCACATACTTTTTTGTGGGGAAGGGAAGACCAATTAAATAAAATAAAATGTCCCATCAATAATTTGAAACTCTTCAAATATAGCAAATGTCCTCAGAATCAATGTCAGAAAACTTGTCTTTTTGTTTTAGTAAAATTACAATTAGACCTAAGGATAATGAAGACATATCTTTTTCAAAATGTTATTTGAATTTCATAATTTTAAAAGCAGTGGAAAATTTCACAAATGGAGAGAGTTAACTTTAATAAGATAAACATAAAAAATATCAAAAGGAAACTTTATGATGTTTTAAAGGTAAATGTCTTTACCAAATGATCTACGTATATTAAGATAAACACTAAGGCTTCAGGGCAAAAAATTAGCAATGAACACCAAAGACAATTCCCTGTTTGGGAGCCATGGCTCAGGTTTGTAATTCTAATACTTTGGGAGACCAAGCTGGGAGGATCACAAGGTCAGGAATTCAAGATCAGCCTGGCCAACATGGTGAAACCCCATCTCTACTAAAAAAAAAAAATAGAAAAATGAGCTGGGCATGGTGGCACCTGCCTATAGTCCCATAGAGTCCCAGCTACTTGGGAGGCTAAGGCAGGTGAATAGCTTGAACCCAGGAGGTAGAGGTTGCAATGAGCCGAGATGGCACCATTGCAACTCCAGCCTGGGCAAGAAGAGCAAAGCTCCATCTCAGAAAAAAGAAAAAGACAATTCCCCAAAAGGAAAATAAAAAAAAAAAAAGGGTAATGAACATATGAAAAATTCTAACTCACTAAGGTTAGAAATGCAATTAAAAATGAAAGTGACACTTTCTTCTTCTATCAAATTAGCAACTGTGAAAACAGAAAATACACAATGTTAGCAAGAGTACAGTGAAATTGACTCAGCTATACACTAGTAGAAGGATAATTCAGTAAAATAATTTTGAATAGGTTATTGTAAATTATATACTAAAAGCCTTAAATTTGTTCATATTATTTGATTATACCCAGGTATTTCTCCTAAGAAATGATTCACAAAAAAAAGATGAGAGTATTTTTTATGGAAATTATTATAGGGGATTATTTAATATAATAGAAAAATATGAAAATAGCATATGTATAACATTAAATGGTTAAAGAAACAATGGAATAGTCATATTAATTTTTAAATTATTTGATATAATGTTCAATTTAAAATTAATACATATTTGAATATATAGCATACGCGGTTATGTTTCATTTGTATATACACAAAGGGAATATGCAAAACTGTTAATCTTCAGTCATGAAGCCAAGAAATGGTTTCTTATTTTTATAACAAATTATTTTATAATGTAAAAATATTACACAGAAAATATGGCAAATATAAAAGTTATGGTTTTTATTATAATTGTTACATTGTTAGAGGATGAAGACCTTTACAATGATCCTTTTCTATTTAATCAATAGTAAATATATTTTCCTTATGATTTCCTTTAATAACCTTTTCTTTCCTTTAGCTTACATTATTGAAAGAATACAGTATATAACACAAATAACATATTAAATATGAGTTAACTGTTTATCAGTAAGGTTTCAATCAACAGAAGGCTATTGAAGTTTTTGAATAATTGAAAGTTATAAGCAGATTTTTGACTGTGTGGGTGGTTTGGTGCCCTTAATCCTCACATTGTTCAAGGGTCCATTGTAGTTTGTTGCACAGAAGTTAACACAGACATAGATATCCAGGACAGAAATTGGTACCAGAAAGTCAGTAATACTTAAATCTAAAACACACAATATTGGTTTTGAGATAAGGAGGCAAGTGATGCCAGGAGGGCAGCAAGGAGACTCGAAGTGGAGAAAGGAAATTGTTTCTGAGGGCTGGAGAAAAGAAGACTCATGGAATTTACTGCCAGAACAATTATCTTAGCTGTTGCCTTCAATAACTGGAAAGATAGAAAATATGCCTATGAGTTTGTGGGCCTGGTTAAAGGGATTTCCAAGCAAAAAAAGATGACAGTGCTATTTGTCATCTTTTAGCCACAGACAGCATGATATTGTAAGAGAGAGATGAGCTAAAGAAAGATTTTCAAGCAGAATTTAGAGGCTATATTTCCAACCCAGGACTTGCAGAGTTGGAAAAAAGAAGTTTATAATTTACATCATCTCTAGCTGGCAAAAGAGTTCCAAAGACATTGTCTTAAGGAAAAACCCAAATTCACAGCGCTATTTACTGGTCAAGATGAAATCAAGGATATCGCTCTGAGATTCATTGTTAAGAACAATGAGAACACATGGACACAGGAAGGGGAGCACTACACACTGCGGTCAGTTGGGGGGAAATAGGGGAGGGACGGTGGGGGGTGGGGAGCTGGGGAGAGATAGCAAGGGGAGAAATGCCAGATGTAGGTGATGGGGAGGAAGGCAGCAAATCACACTGCCACGTGTGTACCTATGCAACAATTCTGCATGTTCTTCACATGTACCCCAAAACCTAAAATGCAATAAAATAAATGGAAAAAAACAAACAAACAAACAAAAAAACCAACCTCGCAGAGTTCAGGTTGTGTCTAACAGTCCAATAAACAAAACTTCTAACAATTTCAAAGGTGTTTTCCCTTGGTATCATAACTCTTATTCCATGCCAGAGAAAGTGGCCAGTATTGAAAGATCTGTGGTATGTCTTTATTCAAAGGGATGCCATTATAATTTGATACATAGAAAGCCTACACTTTTTTTTTTTTTTTTTGCATTGTAGCATCTTAGACTAAAAGAGACAGAAATAGTTAATCTAATATCTAGAGCAACTTACTCTATTTTAAATTTCCTTTCAGCCTATTTCTATGCTACACAAGTTAGTATTATTTTTAAATAATAATAAAACCAAAAATATCATAGCTAATATTTATTGGGCGCTTTTAAAACATCAAGCATGATGCTAAGGACATTTCATAGAATATCACCCTTACTCCTCAAAATTAACCTTTGAGTTTTTAAATAGTTCAAATATGTTGGCTCACATCTAGATTTTATCCCAAGAATTTTATCAGAAATAAAGATGAAATATTTATATAATGATATTCAAAGCAACATTATTTATAAGAATAAAACCATGAAGGAACCTCAAAGTCTAATAAAAGAAGAAAGGTAAGTTAAATTTTTTTCATATAATGGCTAACAATTAAGTTAAATTTTTTTCATATAATGGCTATCAATTAATTAAATCATTATGAGTTAATGTAAAGATTACTTTGATTTTAATGATAAGAAAACTGAAGATTGGTAAGGTGAAGTTGTCCATAGTCACACAGAATTTGGCAGATCCAAGATTTCAGTCCTGATATTATGACATCAGAGGCCTCACTCTCAACCACTGTACAATCCTCCCTACACTGGATCAAATTACAATTTATAAAAGAAAATGCACAATACTGTCATATCTTGTGTATTGAAAAACTTCACACTGCAACAGACTCCTCCCACTCTTACAAGATGTAGATGGCTACCTAGCCTCCGAGGTGACATGCACTGAGATCTGGGCATGCACCTAGAGGTGAGGACTATGGGCTTCTGATTCTTCCTTAGCCCAACAGCGGCTCCTTTGGTTCCAGCCACCACCACATTGCCTGGCTCTGTACCAATGAGTTTTACTTGGTTCTACATGACAGAAACAACAGGCTATAGGGGATGCATCTTTTATGAGGATGCTTTCATAAAACCTGAGAAGGGCCACTGGTTTGTGTTGAACAAGGCAGAGCTTTCATTGTACTATCTTATATATGTACTTTTACTACAAACCTGCTTTACAATTTTAAATAAATGCCTATAGACATTTCCTTTGTCAAAAATGAAGATATAGAAAAAATGATGAAACTAAAAAGAAAAAAATGTACATTAATGGAGAGCAGTAGCTGAGATCTGAGGCACATACAAAAGCTAACCCAAGTTATGGTTCCCATAGTAACTACAACACAGTTGGATTTCACTTTTATGTTAAGTAAGTTTAACTTGAGTGGAAATGCAAAATACCTTCTCTGAGCCAAAAAGAGAATTATGGAGAACACAGAGACAATTGTCCAGATTATTCTGGCTTTCACATATGCTAAATATTAGCCCTAATGTGGGTTAATATTTTCATATCAATAGTGTATGTTTATTTGTATTGATTTTAAACTCTTCATTGAATATATAAAATATGATTACTTAATATGAGAAAAAAATTCCCATTAAAATATGTTAAACCAGAGAGCATGATTTTATAATTTAGAAATACAGAAACACAGTTAGGCTTATAATTATGAGAGTATTTGCCGAAAGTACGAATTATGAGAATTCAATCTGATTACACTGCTATCAAGTGCATTAAACCTGACATTTTCAATTACTGTTGATGGAACCTGAAACTGTGAAAATAAACACAGTACTTAAAAGAGAGTATCCACATGTTTAAGATAGAGTACATGCATAAGTTTTCAAGGCATTTGGAGTTTGCACTTCATTCTCTAGTTCAATTAGATTTTAAAAAGGCAGAAAAGGTACTTACTCCTGTTATGTAACGAGGTCTATATTGAATAGTTCCAAACAAACCAAGAATGACGATAATAATATGTACAAAATTTGCCAGGATGGGTGCCCACTGATATCCAAGGAAGTCAAATATTTGCCTCTCCAGCACACAAACCTAGAAGAGCAAAACAGGATAGATAAATCAGAATGTGAGCAACAGCACAGTGGTGAGAGGAAAAAAGGATACAATTATTAATCACATTATAATTAGCAATTATAACTGTGTCATCATATCTGGCATGTGTCTTTAACAGTGAGAATGATATTTTCAGGTACATTTCAAAGGAAAACTATGGAAGCTGTGGATCTATACACACCTACAAGCCTTTCAGGAATAATTTTGTGGAGGAATCAAGCAGTATTCACAGGATGTCATCTTTGCAGTCACAGGATAAATTACATTGCCATGTGCACTGTCAAACATTTGAAGTCATCAACCAGCAAATCCGGGAAGTCTACGTAAAGACTTTGTTGCTAGATCTCTTCACACGTTATTATATAAGTTGAGACTAGAACAAAGGAAGCTTGAGGTGGAGGAAAAACAACTCTTTATCAAGAGTTGCAGCAAGAACTCTTTAACAAGACAAAGATTTCTGGATGTGGATCTGACACTAAGTAGCTGCAGTGGCCTAAGTAAATCATTCCCTTCTCTGGGTGCCTGGTCCTTGTTTGTAAATGAAGGACTTTGACAATGTATGAAGGGTCCTTCTAGTCCTAATAGTGTTGGATTATAGATCAAATATGATGTTTTGTCATACCTATTTACCAGTCAAAAGAAGGGCCCCCAAAGAAAATTAGAACAATGGAAAACAAAAACAAAAATTAAGCATCACTGTTATAAAAGCAAGACACTTAAGTCCATATAAATTATACTACTTTCATCTGTGCTTACAATGATAATTAAGACATATAAAAATCTAGGCAGTGAGAGGAGAAAAAACCAACCAACTAACCAAAAATAACAACAAACTGAGATTAGCAGGTAGTCTGGAAGTACCACTTTAGATCCAAAAGTGAAATCTGGGGAGAAAGCAAGTATCATCAGACCCAACAAAGCAAATCAGAATGTTAGCTTTATTCTTCATGCCTGCCCTCAGGGGGGATGATAATAAACTCTCTGTGTTCAGAGAAAAACATTGTAAAAGGACTTGATGCTCCATACCAAGATTCAGTATTTTATTCAGCCAGATTTTCAAGGAAAATGAGGATTTAAAAATCCCTAAGTTCCTAACATCACTATGCTTTAATGATATTTCTTGTCAGAAGGAAATACTGACTCTCAAAACAGGCAATGTGCTTTTTAAATTAAATATCTGTAGTGCAGTTTGAAGACGTCTTGAATGATCATTATTCCCACTGCACTTCTTTAGCTGAGTAGCACGTTTTCCCATCAGATGTTGAACGAGAAAATAAATTCATGACAACTGTTTGCATAACACCTCTATTTTCTAAGGCACACTGAGCACCGTGTAAAGGTTGTAGCAGTCACAGTCCAGCTTGGTCAAATCTTAATTCACACTGCATCTTCAAAGTAATTAAAAAAACAGAAGAATCTTGATTTCTTTTACCCTATGCTGAAGCCATGATACTCATCAGAGTCTCAATAGTGGAATGCAATATTCTTACTGGTTAATAAACACAGACTGTCATAGAGCTTGAATATCACTTAACCCTTATAAACCTGAACTGTCTTCTGATGAACCATTCCTTCAACTTTCTCATATAGTCAGCATTTTGTACAAATGGGACGCGTTTGTGACATTAGATAGTATTACACATGCCAAGTTAGAATCCAAATGGTACCACAAACTAAGTAGTTGTTTTGAGAACACTATTGCTAATTTTCTATATAAAAGTTCTTTTCTACATAGAATCCTCTCCTCCTTATCTTATGAATAAATAGTGAACAGGAATGTAAACCAACAACAAGAAACATCTAAATTCTATAAATTTGGAGCATCATAACTGTGGGGACACAGCAGGGCAAAAGTATAGAAGATGGAACACGTCAGTCAAAGCGTGGGAAATATCTCAATACATTCACCAATTATGAAAGAAAATTACAGTCCTATTGTTAATTATAAAAATACAGAAATGATAAAATACTAAGTCTGCAAAACTGAAGTAAAATTATTTCAACATATATCAGGTTCGTTTTATGGCAGAACCAATTGTTTCTTCCTTACAAGTTTATGCAGATGGAACAAGTTAATGCGTAATTCTTTGCATGTAATATTTCTGCCTTCTTCTCCTTTTTGATTAGCATTATCATAGGTTCTGCAATTTAGAGATAGGCCGGAAAAATGAAAGATTTTCTGAAAAGTTCAGTGAGCATAAGCAGAGGAACAATGTGTAGGAGTAGTTGCAGTCTTTCCTAAGAATTCCAACAGGAAGACTATTAACTATGAGGGGCCTGTATGATGGGGATGGAGAATACACATATTTGTTAGAATATCTACTGTATGCTGGGGATTTATGCTCTTCTCCAGGCATGTATTATTATATTGATTCTACACAAAACTAAGGGAGGTAAACAGAAGTGTCCCATTTTGCAGACTAAGGAATCTAAGTCGCGGTGTGCTAAGTGATTATCTTCAGGTTACAGAAGTGGTAAGTAGTAGAACAGGAGTTTAGGCTTCTGTGCCTGGCCCCTTTGCCATGTCCCTACCTTTTCTATTTAATCCACACTTAGTCCAAAAAGAAAACAAAACTGTTTTTGTTGGTTGTATCGTAGAAGCCATGCTAGTTATAGCATATATGCTACTTTATTGCTTTTTTATTTATTTAGAAATAGTGTAGAGAATCTCTCTGATCATACCTGTCAGTTCATGACATTACATCATCATTGGTAGAGGCAAAGTTCCTTTCTTGTTTAGGTTAGGTTAGTTTTTGCCTCTTTGAACACATCTCAGTGTTAATCTGATTTTGGGGCCCTTTTTAATGTATTTACTTTTGGTTCTTATAATCATCTGACATATAAATGTATGCATTTGGCCTTGCAAAATATATACTGCTGCTCTTGATATCTGTGTGTTATTTTCACATAAAAAGTTTTACGGTGTACATCTCTTTCATGTGTGTCTATTTTACTGTATATACATTTTGGTTCCTCGTGTTTGGCTGGCACAGAGCACACCATTATAAATGCATGATTTGGTTGCTCTCAATTCTTTGCTACCACTAAGAATTTTCTTCCGTTCCATTACTATCTTTATAAAGTTTTTATTTGTAACATCAATAGTGACTAATCTTTATCAGTTACTCTCTCTGCATCTATTGAGGTATTCACATTATTTTTTTCTTTTACACAATGAATTGATGAATTAGACTATTCAGTCAATCTCCTTTTGTCATTATCCTTTTATACCTGGTAAAATCTCTACTTGGGATGGCATATTGTTTTTAGCACATTTTCAGTTTGGATTAAATTTTACTTTTAAAATTTAAACAAAATAAAATTTTATTTGGGGTTTTTGTATCTATAAATTGACCTTCACTTCAATTTTTTTTTCTTTTGTTTTCTGACACTGTTATAAAAGTTACACTGGCCTCAAACCATAAGACAAAAATTGTATTTAATTTTAATTTTATTTTATTTTATTTTTATTATAGAGATGGATATACAGGTAGTGCTCGACTTACAACCACGATTGGTTCCGACAGACCGGTTGTAACACGATTTGGTCGTAAGTTGAGTAGGTTATATGTACAGTACTGTGAAATGATGTTATAAAAATCTTTAAGTCATATTTTATCATAATGTTCTTTCATTATTGTTATATATCATAATTTTCTTTGTTCATTTTATGCCATTTTTATCGTCTCTACACCATTTTGTTTGTTATTTTTACATTCGTCAGGTTTAAGTAAAATACTACATTACCAGTACCACTGGTTTAATATTTGCAAAACATACAAAATTACAAAATACAGGTGCATACAAAAATACAAAATGCAGGTGTAAAAATACCATAGGAAACATTTTCCCAATTGCAAAACATATCAAAATATATAAACATGTACAAAACATTTTATTGGCCGCTGGTGCTTGGCTGCGGATCGTTGATGTCGTCATCTGAGGCAGCAGTTGGGGTTACTGGAGTTGGTTTTTTCATAAACATGGTGAGCTTTGTCTGAATTGTATGTTTCTTTTTTTCTTCATAAATTTCACGATATGGATGATACACATCGTGCGTCATCTGTTCAATCCTTGCAAATCGTTCAATGTTTGGGTCCATTGCTTTGAAATGTATAAGAAGTTTATTCAGTAAAGATAAACCGTCTGATAATCCCTTAGTGGTGAACTTTCTTTCTGGCTCCTCCTCTTCTTTCTCTGCTTCTCTTCTTTCTTCTTCTACCGCTCTTTCTTCTTCTGGTTCGATTAGCTCCTCATTTGTAAGTTCTCTGGATTCTTTGTCTAGCAACTCTTCAACATCTTCCATTTCACACTCCAAAGAAAGGTCTTTAGTGAGTTTTACTATATTTTCCCCGAACCATTTCAACTTCATGTTCACTGTCAAATCCATCAAAATCATTAACATAGTGCTTAACACAATCTTTCCAGATGCCATTCATGCACTTTGTCGTCACAGCCTCCCAGGCGGTAGCAATATTCTTGATACACATCAAAATGTTGTAGTGTTTCCAAAAATCTCGCAATGTTAGTTCTGAGTCAGCATCTATAGCGGATATTGCTTGAGCGAAGGTGGTTTGGAGATAGTCGGCCTTTAATGTAGCAATCAAACCTTGGCCCATAGCCTGGATGAGTGGAGTCGTGTTTGGCGGAAGAAAAACAAATTTCACATCTGGATGGAGATCGCCTAGATGTGGTGGGTGTCCAGGCACATTATCGAGTAGCAATAAAATCTTGAAAGGAATATCTTTCTCCAAACAATATTCTCGAACTTGAGGAATAAAACAGTTCATAAACCAGTCTTCAAACAATCCTTGTGTCATCCATGCTTTACGTTGAGAACAAAAGTAGACGGGCAATGTGTGCTTGTTAACATTCTTGAATGCACGCAGGTTGTCTGAGTGATAAATTAAGAATGGCTTCAGCTTAAACCCTGCGATGTTCCCACCAAGCAGCAGAATTAGCCTATCCTTAAATGCTTT